ATGCATGCAAAACCACCACTCTGAAAGAATAGAGAAATTCCAAGCGCTTTCGTGACTACTCACATTATCAAGGAACTATGAAAGTAAAGCATCCAAGGAAGCTATATAAGGGGTCTGGCCACAACGGTTAAACACCTGATGCGCACCGGCCCAACTGGACAGGTCCTTTGCACAACTCACCAACAAACTATTCTACCCAAGAAAATTTAAAAATTATTATATATGTATATGTATATATATATACAGTGGACCCCCGATTAACGATATTTTTTCATTCCAGAAGTATGTTCAGGTGCCAGTACTGACCGAATTTGTTTCCATAAGGAATATTGTGAAGTAGATTAGTCCATTTCAGACCCCCAAACATACACGTACAAGCGCACTTACATAAATACACTTACATAATTGGTCGCATTCGGAGGTGATCGTTATGCGGGGGTCCACTGTATATATAAAACAGGAAATAACTTTAAAACGCTTGAAATTTTGGAAAGTTTCCAGACATAATGTTCCAGACTTTGGAACAGAACTTCTCCAGGCTGAGGGACTGACAACCTCAAATCTATGACTTCAAGGGTAATGGACTGATTACATCATCTTCACAACTCTACTGCTCCTGCCTACTTTCTGTACTTGACTGAAGAAGCCTACTGTGTAGGCGAAAAGTTTTGGAATAAAGTTGCCTAAATGTTGCCTATGTGTCTTATCTACCAACCATAATGGAGAGACGCAGTACTTACGAAGCTCACAGAGAATGTAAACAAACTGGGTGGGGCGCGGTGACCACATGAGGTGGAGGGAGCTATATAGCAAGTTTTGGTCGTAATTTGAAATGTCTGTATTAGCGGAATGCTGTAAAGCAAAACACTGTAAATCAGGGCCCTACTGTATGTCTTCCATTCTATCAGTTGGGCATAATCTGCCCATTCAACTATCAGAAGTACCTTATAAAGTCCACAGAAGTTAGTAATTTGTTCAGTTGTACACAAATTAAAAAATGGAATTTAAAAATAATCCAAACTAACCATTGTAGACATTTCAGCTACTAAAGCAACATTCCCTTTGTTCATTTATCCCATCCTCAGGCCTCTCTTGTATTACACTTGCCTTTCATTTTGAATTTATCATCACACAAAAAACAGAAGTTTTACCCTATTTCTTGAATAATAAAATATAACCAGGAATTCAAATTCAAATTTTTTTTAATCTATTCATATACAGATAATGTAGTTTAAATGTAATAAAATATTGTTAGGCACAAAAGAAAGCCATTAGTATGCTGTGCATTTTAGTCATGGTTGAGGGTGTCCCAGTAATTGAAACAGACTTGGTAAAAACCATAAAAACAGACCAAGGGGGCCTTACCAGGCCTCAAGAAAATTATGAACAATCAAATATTTCCTCTTCTTAGAGCCCAATTTCAAGCTACTTCTGATCCTGAAACAAGCTCTGTTTTAGTACTATATGTCTTTCAATATATCAGTTGATATTAAGAAACAACCAGTAAAAGCTTCCTAGAAAAATATCTCAAAGCAAACACATTGTCAGAGGTTTGCTGTACCCATCATGTACCACATGGGGCAGGATTTTTTTTATACTATGTGCACTCACCACACACCCATTCTCCCATATCTAGGCTAAAATTTGCCACTCACAGCATATTTGAGGGAGATGTCCATAAAATGAAGATTTTTTGTAAATGTCACTGGTGTCAGTGATGTAGATCTACATAAGAGATAGTAAAAAGGTTAAAGTAGTATGCTTTATTATGGTACAGACTAGCAGAATAAATTACAGTAATAGCTACATATCCCATTTATCTATCTATTTGTTGTGGCTTATTTTTCCTGGACATTATCCTCCAAGGGTGTAATTAAGACAGTTGGATATGTGACCCTGACATAAGACTAGAAAAGTGCTCAGTTGACTCTGTATTGTACAATTCATGCAGTGTGTCCTCTTTCCTTTCTGTTCAAGTGTCAGAATTTTTTTATCTCTGTGTATTATTGCCTTTATTGGCATTGTGTTATGTAATAATTGGTTAATATTTTAAACAGATGATAGTTTAACCTAATCAAACTTGTCCTAAATAATGTACATATATTGAAAAATTTGCTTGAATTAACTTGGGCTTTAGGAGGATGGGTTTGCAAAATTAGACTTACAATTTCTTAAAAATGTATGTAGTTCTCTTATTTTTGACCACTTCTTTGGTGTTGGTCTGCTTACCAATCACTCACCCTTGCATTTCATTCACTTTTGTGCATTAAAGAAATTAAAATTAAAATTATTTATTTCTTAAGAGCCATATAAATACAGTATTGTTTATATGTTGGTAGAATTACCGACAATATGTAAAGTAAAATGACACAAGTGCAGCTAATGTGACATTTTATTGTGGCAACATTTCGCCCTCCAGGAGTTTTATCAAGCCGTTACAAACAATACATGGACGCAGAGGGTATATATAGACTTAGTGAAGTGTAATACTAGTGGTAGTAGTAGTGAAATTCAGGGATGCCTGATTAGTGATCAAAGATACTAATTTCTGCACTAATCACTGTTTCTAATACAATTAAACAAAACAAAGGCAGCTTCATCATCTCTGAAGTCTTAGCAAGAATCCTCCTGAAAACAGTAAACCCTGCCATCACATAGTCTCTCCTGCTAATACTACACAAGCACATTACAGAGAATGAACACTGAAACAGGCCTTCTCTAATCCAACCTCCAGTAGAAATATTTGTCTAACCTATTTTTATGTTACCCAAGTAATAGCTTTTATATCCTTTTACTCATGTACAAGTTAATTATTCTACCATATTGTATCACTACTACTACTACCACTAGTATTACACCTCACTCTAAGCCTATATATACCCTCTGTGTCCATGTATTCTTTGTAACGGCTTGACAAAGCTCCTGGAGAGCAAAACATTGCCACAAAAAAAATGTGACATTAGTTGCACTTGTGTCCCTTTACTTTACATAAATACTGTAATTATACATTCAGAATGATTACATTTTGAGTTTAATCATATTATAATACCGACTTGTATTATAATATGGTCAAATGGAGAAAGCCAATACGTAGTTATGCAAATGCATATTTGACAGTGATGGATAAGGCTTATTAACTTCTGCACTTAATTCTAGACCTAAAATAAAATTTAAGTTAGTATAGCTTGGATAATACATAGCAATCATAAATACAACAATCTGGTTGCAAATGAAAAATTGATTAAATACAAATTACATTGAAATTTTATTGGTTCAGTGACCTGCATGTGTATCATGAAGTGGCTGAATTGGGTGTTGAAATCAGGCATGAGGATTAAGTGACAGACATTGGCTATAACATTTATGTGAGATTTAACTGAGATTTAATAGGTGCTTTTTAACAATATTAGTAAAGATGTTGGACCAAGGTATGCCAGATGAGAACAATACCACAGCTAGGATTGAAAGAGATAGTGCAGAGTTACAGTGTGCATTTCCACTCTTGACAGCATTAAGGGAAACTTTTTGTCCATCATGCCTTGAGAGTGCCTTGCTAATGCTGTGGTCAGAGAGGTAATCAGTATGTGTTGTTGGCTGAAGAGAAAAGAATTTTATCCAGGAGTGTCCTTGTAATACAGATTGAAGGAGAAGAGATTTCCAGGGAGCTTGTTAGTGTCAGGAGTGCCAGTAACAGTGTCAGGAGTGCCAGTAACAGTGTCAGAAGTGCCAGTAACAGTGTCAAGAGTGTTAGATACAGATTGAGGTCGCTTGGACAGAGGCTTCAAGTCAGTCCATCCTGTGGTGTGCAATTGATCTGAAAATTGATACAGTTGTGAGAGAAGCCAGGATCACGGTCAAAGTCGAGTAAAGGTCAGAGGTAGCAAGAGGGTCAGCTGGAATTCCGGCACAAGAGTCAGTCATTGAGGCATTGCCTAAAGGTTAGTGTAATATCTTTACAGCCTCTCCTCACTTAACAATGGAGTTCTGTTCCTAAGACCACGTCGGTAAATGAATTTGTCACTGAGGAGTGTACTATAATGGCAATGGGTTTGTGTCAGTTAGTTTAATATCTTTATTATGCACCCCATACCCATCCTGTGGGTGGTAGTCATAAGATTACAGAGGTACATAATGGGTCCAGGGACTGGACCCCAAAGTTATGATAGCTGACCTAGTTACAAAGGTATTTGTGTCAACCATCTGTGATATTTTTTAATGTCACCTTTGCACCATTTATTACATTTCTGGTATACTTTTAAATACTTATACAGTAGTGTCCTGTATATTATAATGAACAGAATAGAGGAAATCAGCTCTAATATACATTATTTAAGTATGCATACTGGTCAGAGAGCCCATTGTAAGTCAGAGTCCTTGGTAAATGAGTATGTCGGCAAGTGAGGAGAGGCTGTATTATGCACCCCATACTCATCCTGTGGGCAGTAGTGCTAGACTTATTACAGCCATACAGCATTACCTAATGGAATGCTCAGTTCTTTTGTACTCATTGTAATTCATCTAATGACCATATGAACTGTTATTGCCTTATTCATCTTATGTTAATTTTAAGTTTACCCAAAATGCTCTGCATACAAAGGGGCTTTTGGCATGCACACCCAACTATTATATTCCTTTGTACAACACTGTATCAAGTCAAAATAAACACAATAATCATTATTATTATTATTACATATTTGTATCAAAATATGTATATCTACTATAACTTCTGTATGGCTCATAAGAAATAAAAAAAACATAATGCTAATTTTAAATATTGTGGGCTGGGGTCGACAGGAAGGCCATGGCTCATGGAGGGTGCTCCTGTTTTGCTTGAGTTTTTACAAGCAATATTTAACTTGTAGTTTTGATTTTTGACAGCTAAAATGAGCTTGATGTTATTGACCTTGACTGTGTCCTATAAAAAACTTGAAAAAGAAAATTTAGACAACCAAATTACCCTCAGACATTTTAGAAATTTTCTCACAATTCTTCATTTGCAGGTTAACTTCTACTATGGGGCACCTGCCCCATATGCAGAGAGCATTGCACCATCTCATCACTCGACTTACGCTCATTATTATGATGATGAAGAAGATGCCTGGGAGATGCCAAACTTCTACAATGAGACTTACATGAAGAGTACGTCTTGAGCACAACCCAGACCCGAACTCACACATGATAGATTAGCTAATGTCTTCATCCCAAATATATTAAACTCATATCTAAGCTTTATTACCTTATTTTAGTGCTTTAATTTTTTTAAATATAAGTCTTTTACCTAGACTTATTCTTCAATGCTTTAAAATGCATAATATATCACTTTTTGCATAATCACATAAAAGTCTTACAGTGTAGTATATTAACTATTTTGTACAGGTAAAAGTACAGCAAATAAGCAATAATATACTGCTGTACATTTAATTATGCTGTACTTTTAAATGTACACTGTACGTTTTATTAACTGCTGTATAAACAAAGTATGGATAAACATAACTAACCTAAACTCCTTAAAACCAGCCGGGTTCCAGAATGGAGCAGGAAATAGCTTGGCTCGGTCTAACGCTTCCATCTACGGCAACAAGGAGGACCTGTATGATCGCCTCCGCAAGCATGCTTACCAAGGCAAGAAAGGTGAGGATGACTGAGAACTTAATCCTTCAATAAGGTATAAAGTCAAACATGTGCATGGATGTGATTGGAAAAAAAAAAAGCTGAAAAAGTTTTAGCTGAAATACGAGCATGAACTTCTAGTGAAAATTGAACATAGCAAATTTTGCATGGAAAATAAGGACACTGCAAAATTGCAACCTTAATACATTTATAATACTCAAGTTATTAGGCTGCATGACAGCTGAAATGTATGAGTGAAAAATGCATGAATTGTATTATAATTATTGAGTAATATGCATGTGTCAAAGACATCTTGAACTGTATCTGTGTACATGTATCTTTCTATAGTAGACGACTTAGTTTTTATGTAAAGTTAGTGTCTTGATAAAGAAACAAAAAAAGAACTGATGGAATCATGTGATAAGAATATCTTCTCAGAGACTACACAACATAGTAATAAAATGGTAAGATATGCATGTTGTGTTTCCTATCTTAAGTGAACTAGCACATCAAATTGACACTGTTGGCAGAGTCATCTTTTATGAAACTGATATGAACTGAGCTAACTGTTTATCTGTTGTTATTAATCTAGACTTGTATGGGTTTTATCACAAGAATATCAGTGCCATTGAAAATGTGAAGGATAGGCTATGATCTTTTAATTTCTCTCAAAGAAACAATTGTATTCTGAGCATCACCTGGCTTTACTACACATATATACATTATATACATTATTATATATATATATATATTAATATATATATATATATATATATATATATATATAATATATATATATATATATATATATATATGTAATATATATATATATATATATATATTATATATATATATATATATATATTCTCCATGGGGAAGTGAAACAGAATTCTTCCTCCGTAAGCCATGCGTGTCGTAAGAGGCGACTAAAATGCCGGGAGCAAGGGGCTAGTAACCCCTTCTCCTGTATATATTACTAAATTTGAAAGGAGAAACTTTCATTTTTTCCTTTTGGGCCACCCCACCTCAGTGGGATACGGCTGGTGCGTTGAAAGAAAGAAGGAAAGATAAATATATAATATAGTATGTATGTATGTATGTATGATATATATATATATATATATATATATATATATATATATATATATATATATATATATATATATTATAATATATATATATATATATATATTTTTTTTTTTTTTTTTTTTTTTTTTTTTCAACAAGTCGGCACGCATGCACACACAGCACCAGTTTGGAACCCACACCTGGTCAGACACGTCAAGAAATTAGAGAAAGTGCAAAGGTTTGCAACACGGCTAGTTCCAGAGCTAATGGGAATGTCTTATGAAGAAAGGTTAAGGGAAATCGGTCTGACAACACTGGAGGACAGGAGGGTCAGGGGAGACATGATAACGACATACAAAATACTGCGTGGAATAGACAAGGTGGACAGAGACAGTATATTCCAGAGATGGGACACAGAAACAAGGGGTCACAATTGGAAGCTGAAGACTCAGATGAGTCAAAGGGATGTTAGGAAGTATTTCTTCAGTCATAGAGTAGTTAGGAAGTGGAATAGTCTGGCAAGCGATGTAGTGGAGGCAGGAACTATACATAGTTTTAAGATGAGGTATGATAAAGCTCATGGAGCAGGGGGAGAGAGGTCCTAGTAGCGGTTGGTGAAGAGGCGGGGTCAGGAGCTGAGTCTCGACCCCTGCAACCACAATTAGATGAGTGTGTGAGTGAGTGTGTGTGTGTGTGTGTGTGTGTGTTGTGTGTGTGTGTGTGTGTGTGTGTGTGTGTGTGTGTGTGTGTGTGTGTGTGTGTGTGTGCATGCGAATGAGTGAGTGAGTGAGTGAGTCATGCCGAATAGGTAAAACTTGCGATTTTGGCTTAAATAGCAATACTGTTCTTGCTGAATAAGGCAAGCGAAAATTTGAGTATGCAATAGTTTCGCAAAAATCATTCTGAACCTAACAAAAAAATATATTTCATTGTGTTTGTTTATTATTAAATTGTTACTAAATTATGGTAATAATAATTAAATTATTGTAAACTTATCTAAATATATTTATTTGGATTAGGCTAAATTAAATTGCACTTGTTATTAAGGTTAGGTAAATCTCTTAAGGTTCTTTTGGTACAAAATTATTAATTTTTACACTAACAAATTAAAGGACTTAATTTTAAACGAGTTCTTGCTAATTGACCAGTTTTACCTATTCAGCATGAGAGAGAGAGAGAGAGAGACATACAGACACACACACAGGGTTCAATGGGACAGAGAACTGGCAAGGAAGTCAGTGAATGAGATGATGGAATATGTGACAATATGCAAGAAAGCTGAGGAAAGTTTATACCTATTGGAAACAGGAATAATGAAAAAGCCAGGATGAGCTCTTGGTTCACCCAAAGGTGCAGGGAGGCCAAAACCACGTGTGCTAGAGAATATAAGAAGTATAGAAGGCAAAGGACCCAGGAGAATAAGGAGAGCAGTCATAGAGCTAGAAATGAATATGCACAGCTAAGAAGGGAGGCCCAAAGACAATACGAGAATGAGATAGCAGCAAAAACCAAATCTGACCCAAAGCTGTTGTACAGCTGCATCAGGAGGAAAACAACAGTCAAGGACCAGGTAATCAGGCTGAGGAAGGAAGGATGGGAGGTCACAAGAAATGACTTCGAAGTATGTGAGGAGCTCAACTTGAGATTCAAAGAAGTGTTCACATAGGAGACAGAAAGATGGAGAGGTGGGGTACACCATCAAGTGTTGGACACTATACATACAACCAAGGAAAAAGTGATGAGGCTGCTAAGTGAGCTAGATACCTCAAAGACGATGGGGCCGGACCACATCTCTCCATGGGTCCTGAGAGAGGGAGCAGAGGCGCTATGTGTACCACTAACAACAGTCTTCAACATATCTATCAAAACAGGGCGACTACCTGAAGTATGGAAGGCAGCACATGTAGTCCCCATTTTTAAGAAAGGAGACAGAAATGAGGCACTAAACTATAGACCAGTGTCACTGACGTGTATAGTATGCAAAGTCATGGAGAAGCACCTAGAATGGAACCAGCTTATAAACGACAACCAGCACGGATTCAAAGAAGGAAAATCCTGTGTCACAAACCTACTGGAGTTGTTTGACAGGGTAACGGAAGTAAGACGAGAGAGAGAGGTGGGTAGATTGCATTTTCTTGGACTGCAAGAAGGCTTTCAACACAGTTCCTCACAAGAGATTGGTGCAAAAGCTAGAGGATCAGGCACATATAACAGGAAGGGCACTGCAATGGATCAGAGAATACCTGACAGGGAGGCAACAATGAGTCATGGTATGTGATGAGGTATCACAGTGGGTGCCTGTGATGAGCGGGGTTCCACAGGGGTCAGTCCTAGTACCAGTGCTATTTTTGGTATATGTGAATGACATGATGGAAGGGTTAGACTCAGAAGTGTCCTTGTTTGCAGGTGATATGAAATTAATGAGGAGAATTAAATAAGATGAGGATCAGGCAGGACTACAAAGAGACCTGGACAGGCTGGACACCTGGTCTAGCAACTGCCTCCTCGAATTTAACCCCGCCAAATGCAAAGTCATGAAGATCAGGGAAGGGCAAAGAAGACCACAGACAGAGTATAGGCTAGGTGGCCAAAGGCTGCAAACCTCACTCAGGGAAAAAGATCTTGGGATGAGTATAATACCAAGCACATCTCTTGAAGCGCACATCAACCAGATGACTGCTGCAGCATATGGGTGCCTGGCAAACCTGAGAATAGCATTCCAATACCTCAGTAAGGAATCGTTCACAATTCTGTACACCTTGTACGTCAGGCCCACACTGGAGTATGCAGCACCAATTTGGAACCCACACCTGGCTAAGCATGTCAAGAAATTAGAGAAAGTGCAACAAGGCTAGTTCCAGAGCTCAGGGAAATGTAATACAAAGAAAGGTTAAGGGAAATCAGCCTGATGACACTGGAGGACAGGATGGTTAAGGGAGACATGATAATGACATACAAAATACTGAGGAATAGATAAGGTAGACAGAGACAG